GGAAATCTTAGAACCCCAACCCCGCCACGTGGAGCTTGCCCTAACCCATTAGGGTTAGGGTTATCTCCCGTAGCGTGGAGGGGGGACTGCGATCTCTTTCAGCATTGCTTGTCCCCACCCACCGGCCGATACAGTCTCATAGATAGCTGCCAGAGGGCCAGCGGCCACAGGGAGGGAGCAAAGCGAGGTGGGGAAGAGCAGGAGGGACCGGTGAGGGCGTGGTGCTTGGTCAGCGTGTCATTACGGCGAGCAGGGGACGCTCTCGTCGGGAAGAAAGCAATAGGTCCCTTTGTTGAACATGAGGGGAGCCAGCGGCTTGAACAAGGGGACCGATTGCTGGTGGAGGTAACGCATCATGGCGTCACTGTGCCAACGAGCCAGGAGTTTTATAACGTTAGAGTCGCAGCGGCCGTTAAGGAGGGCCATGGCCCCTCCCGCGCGCAACGAACAAGCCCTAAGACTGTTCGGGGTGATCCCTGTAGCGTGGACAAGCAATGCAGCGTGCCAACGCATGGTGGAGGTGATCATCCCAGCGGTCACTCGTACGTTAACACCGCGACTATTATAGTAGCTTGCGAGCTTGATGGAGCTCGCAGGCTGCTCCGGGGCGTGATGGCGTCGGTGGATGAGGAACTGCCGGATGGCAGCAGTTACCGGACAACACAGGGGGTCATTGCTCCGTGAGTGTGCAATCACGTCCCCTTTGTGTCCATTCTTTTGAGTGGTGAAGGTGAGCTGGATCGAGGTGGCTGCGGCGATTTCAGCGTCCGAAGCCAGCTCGTTGGTGAGACATCTGCTTCCAATGAAGAAGGCCACATCTCGTAGTGAAAAGGCTTGATCATCAGTAGTGGTACCAGTGTACTCACCAGGCCGGAGACAGAAGTAGAAGGCGATGCACATCATGTTAGCAACTGCCTTTCGTTCGTTGGACGGCCTTTGATGATACGCAAACTTGAGGGCATGGATAATAATCGTGATAGGGATAGGTTTAACTCTCGCTGGGGGCCTGTCGGCTTGCCGGTAGGCTCGGTACTGCGAGGCTAGCCTATAGTCGAGGACTCCATGCCGGTTGAGCCTTGGGTCAGGGGACCCCATGCRGGTGAGCGTCTGGCCCACTGAGCGAATGGCGTCTGATACTGTATGAGCTCTTGCACGGTTCCCGCTGGGTGACAGCCTTCCATCGTGGTATCTGGCTCCAAACACCTGGAGGAGTGGCACGGGGTCCGCTGTGGCACGGAGGAAGGGGTCCAGACCCTGTGACAGACAGAAGTAAAGCCATTGTTTCCAATGTGCATCCTTCTTCTTGGCATACCCTTTAGTGACACTGGCTCGCATCTCCTTCTGGACAATGCGGAGATCAGTGCGGAATACATCGGCTTCCGTAGGCGGCATGCGATCCAAGGTTTGCTCTGTGGGTAAACAGTGTTAAAGTGATCCAGCAACTGTGAGTGATTGAGGTCCCAGGCTCGTGACAAAGTGTCTGCCATAGTGTTGGCCTCGCCTGGGATGTAGTCCCGCAATGGGACATAGCGGAACTCTCGCTGGTGGAGAGCTTGTAGCCGCAGTAGGTAAGCGGGTGGTCCCGTGGTGGTCGTGGCACCTTTTCTTTGCCAGTATACCGTGGCTGTGTTATCGTACAAGTTCAGTGTGGTCCGCTCCTCCACATGTGCAGCTTGTGCGAGTATATCATTATGAGCTATGGAGCCAGCCAGTTCCAGCTCACTGTTGGTTATAGTTCCYTCCGGGTTGGCAAAACTGACGAGGTCTCGCCGGACCCAAGCGGGGAATGTAGCCCTCCATAACAAGGGCTGTACCGTTCCGTCTGGTAGAGGGACAAAGTGTACCCCTCCCATTCCAGCTCCGGCAGCATCGCAGGCTCCTACGGTAGCTGGGCATGGGTCGGGGACCAGCTCCGCTAATCGGCCAGGTATCTGAAGTCCTCCAGGAAGCTGTGGAGGGGAGCGGACAGCCGTAATCGGTTCCTTGCCTTCTCCTGGTGCCTGAGGGTCTCCTGAAGTACTGAGAAAAGCCCTAAAGACCCCGGTAAAGCAACTGACATGGACCGTAACTCCCCAAGGAGTTTATACCAGTCTGGGATCCCAACATGCTTTTGTTTTGGTTTGATGGACCCTAGAATGTAATGGAGGCGTTGGGCTCGGTGTGGTGGCAGCTGGAGTGTCCCACTGGTGGTGTCCACTAGCCAGCCCAGGATCACTTTGCGAGTAGCCCAAGTGCCGTCTCCTTTCCGCAGCTTCTTGATCGAAGCGGGTTCCTGTCGGAAGTGGGAATCCTCCGGGTCTAACGACCGGAAGACCTTGTCCAACTCGTGGAAGAGGGCTCTTTTGACTGCACGGCGGTTCCACCGGTTCCCCTGTGCCAGACCACAGAAGTCATCGACATATATGTCCCAGTACTTTAGTGGTACTTTGTACACGTTAGTGGCTCGTTGTACTGGCCCAGTCACCCCCACGGGAGCGGTGTATTCTTCCTCCTCACTGGGGGTCTCAGATACCTCATCCAACCGGTGTGGCTGGGTTTTGAGTGAGGTGAAACGCCGGGGAGATCGTAGGCTATCGTTCGCRAGGTCAGCAACAGTTTCTGTGCAAGCACTAAAGTTCGGGGGAGATGAGCACCATCCCATGGGATTGGTCAAGGGGATCCCCACGAGGGGGGGCTCCTTGTCTCTGGCAGGGAACAGCACCGCTAACTGGATGTTCCCTTTTGGGGAAAGCCACAGCCGGTAGAACCCATCTGAGAGGTCTATTTTTGACATATATACGGGGCCAAACCGAGGGTTTGCTCTGTGTATACGTAGGAGTAGGCAKTGAAGGGTCCTTCCGAACTGCATAGCCTCTAAGGGGGCCCTTTGGTGGGTGTCCCCATTGACTCCAAAGTAGCTGTAATCTGAGATCATCCGGTCGCGTCGTCCCCTCTGTGGGACGAGTCCTAACGGACTGAGTCGTAGGCCCGGGAGGTCCTGGACCAGCGAGGCTRGTAGCACTGTCCACTGTTGCTTATCCATCATGTCCGCATACTCCTCCCTCAGGAATTCGATGCCGTTACGGGAGGATTTGTGTGGCCCCCTGGCCAAGGCGGATTGGATCTGCCCTTTGGTCCAGGGGGGTGTAGCCATGATCACTGGGGTCCCTTCGGTTTGGAATTCCTCCAGTAGCTCGGCGGCTGGGTGTGCGAGCTTTCCCACATCCGGGTGTAAATMTCCCTGTCCCCGGACTGAATGGAAGGCTGCTATGGCGCGGGATACATGTTGATCCAGTCGGTCCTCCGGGTACGGTGATTTAGTGGAGATGATTGGCTCTTGGTTCGTAGACGGGGGCGATGCGGGCCTCCGGTCCCCTCGGTTGGGGATGTTCGCTACCGCCGGACGCTGGTTCCGGAGATCGCACTGTGCTGTAGTGCCGCTCCCCGTAACTGTGTAGGGGTGTGGTACTGATTGTAGGAAGGGCATAACTGGAACGGGCTCCACCGCCTGCTTATCCTTGTAATACGGGGGGCCAGGCCCTTTTGAGGGACTTACCTAGTTCGTTAGACAGGGGCTGTTCCCCTCCCTTGCCGAGCCGCGGTCGCTTTCGAGGACCTTGGCTTGATGAGTCTAGAGCTACTGAGTCTGACACCAGCCGSCGGATTTTCGGTGGGGGCAGTGGCACAGCAGCTGGTTGATGAGTGAGCTGCTTGCCCCCTCGTCATTGGGGCCCGTAGGCCTCCTGACACCAGGCCCAGAACCTATTCTTCTCTTCTTCGTTGGGTTCCCGGTGATCGTAGCTCAGCTTACATCCACTGTAACAGAAGCCTTTGGCATGCCACGAGTGGCACATCTCCTTGCCATCATTCCGGAGACACGGGCCTTGCCCCTTGTCTTTCATAACACTCATCGCTTTGGCTATCTTCCACCCTTTCACCCGCTCGATCATGGCCGGCTCGGCCGTACTGAACCGCGGGTCCTGCTGTTGGTTCTCCACTCGTTGTTGGGATCCTTGTCCAGAGGAGATAGTGCTAGTGGTGGTTCTTCCTTTGCTTCGGGGAGCTTGAGGTTGGGCCGGTGCGGTCTTCTGTTGCAGGCTGTGCAAGGCTGGGACATCCGTAACCACTGGTAACCAGCTCAGGCTTCGCGACATCTGGAATAGGCAGAGATCACTAGTGAAGGAAGGGATCTCAGTGGCCTGTCCGTGAGAGCTGTCCCACTGTTCTTTCAGCCAGTATCTTACTCGTAGCTGGAAGTAATACACGATCATAGCAGGGGCTAGCTTG